TCTAGAACAAAAAATCTGCCCAAAACTTGCTTCTGATTTACTTATCTTATTTCCAAATGAGAATTTTCCTACAAAAATAAGAAAAAGAAAGGAAAATCTATCCAAAAACTTATTTCCGATTTACTTATCTTATTTTCAAATGAGAATTTTCCTACAAAAATAAAAAAAAGAAAGGAAAATCCACCAATAAACTTGTTTCCAATTTACTTATTTTTAAAATGAAAATTTTTCTAAAAAAAAAAGAAAAAATAAGAAAAATAATAAATTTTCACCCAAAGAATGATTTACCACACTTCTAAAATGAGAATTTTTCTAAAAAAAAATGGTAAAAATCTTCAAGATAAGAAAAAAAATACAGAAAAAAGAAGGGAAAAGGTTAAAAAAAGTAAAAAAAATTTTCAGATTAATCTGAAAGTTTTCTAGCCAATTAAATGATTTTGTATTGTCTAATTGAAACATTGTTTCTATTGAATGATTTGTATCATCCCTTAGAAGACGATGATTTGATCATTCCAATTAGATCATCTGATTAGAACGATGATGTTGATTTGAATGATAGTGTATTGTCCCTTTGGGATGATAGTTTGATCATTCCAATTGAACGATTTTGCATCATTCAATTAGAATGATGTTGAATCGTTCAAATCGAACGATCATTGTTCCAAAAGGAATAATATTGAATTGTTCTTGATGAACGATTATCATTCCAAAAGGAACGATTTTTTATTGTTCAATAAGAATGATCATTATTCCAAAAGGAATAATTTTTTATCATTCAAATTGAACGATAATTGTTTCAAAAGGAACAATATTAAATCGCTCAATAAGAATGATGATGTATCATCCCAAAAGGATATTTTTTTGATTGTTTAATAAGAATAATAATATATCATTCCAAAAAAATGATGTTTTAATCGTTCAATAAAAATGATGATATATCATTCCTTTTAGACGATTTTTTAAATCGTTCAATAAGAACGATAATCTATTGTCCCTTTAGAATGATTTTTTAAATCGTTCTTAATGAATGATGGTGTATCGTCCCTTTAGGATGATTTTTTAAATCATTCTTAATGAATGATGATGTATCGTTCCTTTGAGACAATTTTTTGATCGTTTAATAAGAACGATGATGTATCGTTCCTTTTGAATGATTTTTAATCGTTCTTAATGAATGATGATATATCGTCTCTTTATGATAATTTTTTAAATTGTTCTTAATAAACAATGATCTATAATCCCTTTTGTAACAATTTTTTAAATTGTTTTTAATGTACAATAATGTATCATTTCTTTGGGACAATTTTTTGATCGTTCAATAAGAATGATGATGTATCGTCCCTTTGGGATGATTTTTTAATTGTTCTTATTAAAACGATAGATGTATCATCCCTTTGGGATGATTTTTTAATTGTTCTTAATAAACGATAATGTATCGTCTCTTTGGGATGATTTTTTAAATTATTCTTAATGATCGATGATGTATCGTTCCTTTGAAATAATTTTTTAAATTGTTCTTAATGAACAATGATCTATCGTCCCTTTGGGATGATTTTTTAAATCATTCTTAATGAATGATAATATATTGTCCCTTTGGAATGATTTTTTAAATCGTTCTTCTTAAATGATAATGTATTGTTCCAAAGAAATGATTATCTTTATCGTTTCTTAGAAACAATTTGTATCTTTTCTTAAGGACAATTTCTATTATTCCTTTAGGATGAAGTTTCCAATTGAATGATTTTTGCATTATCCAATTGAACTAATCAGAATTGAAATTTTGGCTTAACTCCAATCGACCATAAATCAGACAGGTTGATTTAGGTTGATTTTTGGCTGATTGATGATTATGTCTGATTGATGGATAATTAATAGACGATTTATCATATGTCTGATTTTTTTGATTTCGACCAGTGAATGTATCAATATAATTTTTTTTTGTGGTTTATTAATAAAAAGTTAAAAGGATTTCTTCATAAAGTTGGTACTTTTTTATTATTTTAACTTTACGAATCTCAAAAATGGAAAACTTAGCTAGCAATATAAGCAAACTTAACCTTCAAAATTATAATATTAACAATCATAATACTATAGAGGAAGAATATGGCATTGACTTTAACAATATTAATGAGGATTTAGGTAATTTAATAAATGAGATAGACATGTTTGAGTATAGTAATACTGGCTTAGACTGTAAAGAAAATTCAAATAATATTTTTTTCAACTAAATATAAATGCACTTCGATTTGCTTGTCATTTTTCAACTATTTTGAATGAAACTGATAATATAGATAATTATATATTAGATTTAGATAGCAATTTTGATGATGAATCTGTAATTTTTATGATAACAAATATTATTAATAAAATGCAACCAAATAAGATTCCCAGACTAACAAAAACCAAATTTACCTCTTGTGTTTTAATTTATAATATTAATGGTGAAATTCGTTCTTGTAGAAGTTCAAAAAATTTACATTGTATAAAAAATATTTTTGGGACCTGGGAAATTGACAACAAAATGGTTCATAATATAGATGGTGATTTGGCTTCTTTGGGAGTTTGCTATTCACATCAAATGTATGATCAAACTAAATTGCATGTAAAAAATGTAAAAGGAACCAAGAATTTATCTTTGGGTTTTATTAATAGTAGAAGATGTCTTTTTTGTAATATTAATAAAAGTTTTTATACTTGTAGAGAGCAATGTGATCAATATTCTTAGATATTAGTGGATCGCAATTTACAAGTTCCTTGTAGTGATCAATATTATTGTACTTCTTTAACAAATATTCATCCAATTTTATATCCTAGTTTATCTAATAGAAAATCACAATATATATATACTTCCTGTTATGAAAAACACGGTAGGCATTTTCATCAAAGATCTGGAATAAAAGGGAAAGTCAGTGTGAATTGTTCAGAAGATTTTTTCTATAAAGATAATATTATAGAATCTCTTCATTTAATAGGTAATTAGTTTCTTTATGTTGCTAAATATGAATCACCTAATTTTCAAGCAGAATTATTTCATGAAGCAATTAATCTTTTACAACTATTACCATCACAAAGATTTAATAATACATCATAAACATCTACACCTACTTCCGTAAAATTCAAACCTTTTGATATACCCAATCCTTTTATTATTAAAGCTGCTTTTAAATTAAATAAATTAGATTTTTTAATTGTGAATACAAAAAGATTAATGAAAAAGAAAGTTTTGAATTTGGTGAAGAAATGGCAAGAACAATTTTAAAAATAGAAAAAATGTTAATGAAAATAAAAAATTATTTGAAATCCTGATTCTTTAATTGAACATTATAATACCTTTCCTTTTTTATTTTTAATTTTTTTTTGGATTTAATAAATACATTACAATTGTCAAAATTTAAATTATTTACCAGAAAAAATAAGTCTTATAGTAAATTTACTACTTCTTTTGATTCTGATAATACTATTAAAACTAGAGTTTTTCTTATGTCTATAGTTTTTCGTATTGCTTTTCCTGGTTTTTAACTTTAGCTTCCAACTATACTTGCTTTACTTATATGAAAACCAAAACTTACTTCACTTTTTCAACAATTACTTACTACAATTTATGCAGTTGCACATACTTTAAGACATGAACATAGATTAGAAGATTAGAAAATATTAGAACTAACAGCAAATCCACATGAAAGACTTTAGGTAGATGATGATATTTGGAGTATTGGAGTAATCGATAATATAGATTTTAAAGAAAGAACTTTTGCTTATTCAAACATTTTTGATCAAATAAGAAGCACAATACATGCAACACTACGTATGGTATTTTAATATAAAATGCCTACTTCATTTTCAATTCTTTTAAATAATATTCTTCCTGTATCTGATATTTCAACTTTAAAACTTTGAGGCAAAAATATTAATCTCAACAATTTATCCTTAATTTTTAAAGACTTTTTACAATTTTCAGGTTCAGGAAATACTTTTAAATATTTTCAAGATTTCGATTTGCCTGATATATATCAGCAAATTATTAGTAATATAGAATTGGAATGTCAGTTACCACCAGCTAATGTGGTTATTTTAGAAGCTGAAAATGAACCAAATTCAAATGAAGGAATATTTGAAGCATGTGATATATTTTTACAAGATTTTAATTTAGATAATAATAATTATATAGATATTGTTTCTGATGAGGTTATTTTTCAAAGAACTATACGTTATCTTGAAACCCATACACATACAAGAATAATCCTCGGTCAGTAACACACAAATAAAGATATGGGTAGTATTCTATTAAAATTGAGGTATAGATCATATGATTTACTATGTCTCGTAACCCACTTTTAATAGATCAGCTTCTATTTGTGTAGTGTACTTATAACAATATTTTTAGGGTTTGGAATATTTAACTTAGCAGCTGCTTTAGGAACTAAATTTTTAGATAAATTAGAAGTAGTAATTGATTATCGATCTACTTGTTGAGTATTAGAAATGATTTGGTTTGTAGTAGGAGTAGGTCTTCATATTTATGTAAAAAAAACATAATAAAACAATTGAGCAAGCAATAAATGAAAATAATTTACTAAAAACTTGATTTTTTTATTTTAAGTGGGCTGGATGGTGAAAAGCACATTGAATTGGAATCTGAATGGGTAATTTTGAAATGCAATATGAATTACTTACTGCATTTACATCACTTTTTCTTGTAGCTGGCAAGCTTAATTATGCATCATCAATTACTTTTTTTTAGCATATTTGGCAAAGTATTCTGAATTAAAAGAATTGTTAAAACATGCTTGTTCAATTAATATTAGTCGAGAGAAACATTTTTTTGCATTTGATGAGGCCATAGAAACATTCGGAGTCAAATATGTTAAACAAAATATATCTGAAAATCCCATTAATACAGAACAATTTAAAAATCAAGTTAAAGTTGTTCAAAGTGAAAGAGATTGAATTAATTTGTTTTTATTTGAGTTTTTAGATGATAATACTATATGTTAAGGTGATCGAGCAGTAATATCTCATAAAGAAGCTATTTAGAATGTAATAAATCAACTTGTTATAGCATTTGATAATCCAATGAATAATTTTCTCTTTCAAGATATTTCTGGATTATCTAACATGATTGCAAAATACACATCTGAGGGATGGGATAGATTATTTAATTGTTATTCAATTGGAGAAGAACGTTTTAATGCCATACTAAAACAAGATGTTTTAAAGAGTGAAAACCGAGTTGCAACAGGTAGAAGAGCAAAAAATATTGGGTATCATACAATAGAAAGTATGAAAAAAGCTCATAAAAATATTAGAGGTCGTAGTAGAGATAAAACTCAAGATAGAGGAAGGGACCAATATGAAACAACAAATCAATCTTCAAGTACCTTTATTTCTTATTCTCAATTTTCTCAATCTTCTTAACCTTCTCAACCTATCCTTATTAATGACTCACAACATACTTTTAACATGCTCTCTAATCCAAATAATTCCTTTGATCAAAATATTTTACTAAACAATACTTTGAATAATGTTCAGGAGGAACAAAGTTTTTCCCCACAATCTAATCCTAATACACAAGTTCATAATATACAAGTTCATAATTCTCCAAATCTAATTAATAATCCTCGCCTAACCAAATGTATCAAACGAACAACCTATACAGAAGAAATAACACTTTTAGAACCATTAGTAAATAATACAAATGAAGAAAATATAAATAATGTCATTTAACAATTAAATAATTGGAATATAGAAAATAATTATACTGAAAATGTATGAAATAAAAAGCGTATAATGAAATGGATAAATACACGAACCCGTAAAGTCCGGTTAGTAAAAGAGAAACAAGACCAGGCATTGCTACAATAATCTAGAATATTTAACATTGTCTTAAAAAAAAATTATAACTAATAAATTTTATATAAAGATTCTATACTTAACCAAGAAATTTCCTTTTTTTTGCCATTTCTCAACAATATACATATAAACTTCAGACCAAATTTTAACAATAATATTTCTATATTAACTGTTAACTTTTCACGTAAAAATCTTTTAGAAAGAATCAATATTGGCAGAAGGATCTTAGTTTAAAGGTCAAAATGTCATATGAAAACCTTATATATTAAAATATTTAAGGAAATAATGTATTCCAATAAAATTAGTGTCTTTTAAATGTTTATACAGTGGCGCTCAAAAAATTTGCATCACTTGAACGAAAATGTTTAAATCAAAATAACTTAATAAATAACACTTGAAAAATAATGTAAAAAGCCTCATTTCATTTGTCAAATCGAAGAGAATTCAAATATAAACTTTATTTTTAATTTATTAAAAAATTACCCCCAAAAAGAAAGATCTACATCAATTTATATGATGCGTTACATATGATCGATATTAATTTTTTGTAATTTTCGTTAATAAAAATGAAATTGCTAAATAAATAATGATTCAAAAATCAAAAAAAATTTCCAGATTGTCCTTTACCATTGTGTATACCCTCCTTTGGCTTTAATTATATCATTGATTCGTTCAGGCATACTTTGTATTAATTTGTTTAAAAAATCATCATCCATATCAACCCATATTTTTTGAATAGCTTCCTAAAGCTGATCTTGACTATGAACCCGATAATCCAACTTTCTTAAACGTCTATCTATTTCATTCCAAAGATGTTCAATGGGGTTGAGGTCAGGTGATTGTGGTGGCCACTCTAATACATTAATCTCTTTTTTATCAAACCATTGTTTTGTTAGATTAGCTGTGTGTTTGGGATCATTATCCTGTTGAAATATAATATTTTCTTTATCAAGCCCATACCATTGGATTGTTTCCAAAAGGTCTTCATTCAATATTTGTTGATATAATTCTCCATTCATATTCCAAAAAATGCATATAATGTTACCAACACCAAAAGAAGAAAGCATCCCTATACCATAATATTGCCACCTTCAAATTTTACTGTAGGTTTAATATGCCGATCCAGAAGTTGCTCTTCTGGCTTTTTCCAACAATACTGACGTTCATCAGATCCAAAAATCATGAATTTGGATTCATCTGACCAGATAACCTTATTCTAGTCTTCAATTGTCTAATCCTTATATCTTTTTGCAAATTTTAAACGTAAGCTTCAATGAGTTTTTTTAAGATAAGGTTTTTTCCTTTTTATTCTTGAAGATAAACCATTCCTATATAAAGTTCTTTTTACTGTACATACGCTAACATCAATTTTTGTATCAGATTTTAATTTTTTTTGGATGTCTGCTACAGTAGAACATTCTCCAGTTGAAAGAAGTCAGATAATATTTCGCTCATTACGGTCATCAAAAATTCTTGGGCAGCCTGTTTTGGGCAAATCTTTTATAGAACCAGTTTTATTTGCTTTTTGTTTTATTCGAATAACACTAGACTGGTTAACATCTTCACGAGAAGCAATGAAAC